TCTCAAGATTGCTTTGCTATTTGGGGTCTTTTGTGGTTCCATACACATTATAAGATTATTTGTTCTAGTTCTGTTAAAAATGCTGTTGGCGTTTTGGTAGGGGTTGCATTGGATCTGTATGTTGCTTTGGGTAGTATGGACATTTTATTTTATTTTAATTTTTTTAATGTTTATTTTTGAGAGCGAGAAAGAGAGAGAGTGCAAGCTGGGGAGGAGAAGAGAGAGAAGAAGACACAGAATCCCAAGCAGGCTCCAGGCTCTGAACTGTCAGCACAGAGCCCGATGCAGGGCTTGAACTCACTAACTGCAAGATCATGACCTGAGCCCAAGTTGGATACTTCACTGACTGAGCCACCCAAGTGCCCCTAATGGTATTTGTTCTTCTAATCCGTGAACATGGAGTGTCTTCCCATTTGTTTGTGTCATCGTAATCTCTTTCATCAATGTCTTATATGTTTTCAGAGTAAGGTCTTTCATATCCTTGGTTAAGTTTATTCCCAGGTATTTATTCTTTTGGGTATAATTGTAAATGTGATTGCTTTCTTAATTTCTCTTTCTTCTACTTCATTATGAGTATATAGAAATTCAGTAGGTTTCTGTATATTAATTTTGTGTCCTGCAACCTTACTGAATTCGTTTATCAATTCTAATAGGTTTTTGGTGGAGTCTTTAGAGTTTTTTATGCATAGTATCTTGTTATCAACAAATGGTAACAGTTTTACTTCCTCTTCGCTAATTTGGATGCCTTTTATTTATTTTTCTTACCTGATTGCTCCAGCTAGGTCTACATGTACTTTTTTTAAAAGCTAAAACTGTTACTATTTTAGCATTTAACATTTTATTCTAACTCAAATAAAATTTATATTACTTTAAAAAACTTTTAAAATGGATTTTTGGCTTAAAAATGGAAGACTTGCTTTCTCAGTCCACAGTAGCACCATCGGCATCTAAAGAAGCTGGAAAAGATGAAACTGACATATCATAGAGTTTTCTGACTCATGAAAGAGAGGGATCAAGTCCACTGAACTGGGTAAAACTATACATTAGCAATGAAAATACGACGAGAGCTACAGATATGAAGCTGACCTCAAAGTGTACCGCAATGAACTTCATCTGCACCCTGTGCTCTGGAAAGCAGTGACAATTGAGAAGTTCTCCCCAATTTCACGTTCTGTTAAAAGACCCCCTGTCCTCACATATTCTGAGACAGAGCTCACCTCCCGTGCTCTTCCCTCACGACCCTATGTCTATCTCAAGCTCCTTCCTTTTTGAGATATGTTTCATTAATGAACATTCTCCCTAGCGCAATATTCTGAGTAAAACCATTTCCTTAATTGTTGGTGCATTTTATTTTTGGCAGTTTTCTGACTCATGGCATTTTGGTAGGAATTGCCATGATTTGTGTAGGAGCAAAGCCTGTGGTGGGATCCCTGTTTACCCCACCCACGTGATGAGCCTCTCTGTTCCTGGCTGGTGATTTGGAGACCAGTGGTGTCTCCGACTTCTGGTCCTGTGCTCTGGACTCGTGTCCGTCAGTAGCACAGTAAGGATTCTATTTTGATTTTTTTTTGAGTAGTCACTTGATTTCTGGAGCTGCTTTCTTTTGGCTTCACAGTCTGTAAACATTTAAGTTCTAGAGATCTTGTCTTTGCTGGGTAAAAGATGAAAACAAATCTTGTTTGTTACTGTTTTCTGTTTGTCTACGTTGAGCTGAAATCAGTTAAGGATTCAAACCCAGAGATCAGCTCTTGATATAGCAAGAGAATTCTGGTTAGCAGTGAATTCTGTTAACCTGTGTTTACTGTTGACCAGGGCTGAACTTTTCGATATTAGAGCTATAAACAACTATCTGTGTCTATCTGCATGTTGATGGATGTCTCTGTAGTTCAGAAAGGCTTTACTTCTCATTGTGAGTGTGGGAGTTTTCTACTTCTGGACAGTGTTGCCAAATTAGATTATAAAATCTAAATTAAAGGAGCTCTATTCTGATTGGCTTAGAGATAATTAATCACCTTATATAAATGGAATATTGCTAACAATTTCCAGAAGTTAAGGAATGCAAACTTTTAATGCTTTCAAAGAGCAAAAAGAAAAAAAAACATAGAAATGAATTCAGAAATAGTTTAAGAATAAGTCCACACTATTTAGGCAAATGAGACTATTTAGTTTTTAAGTTTATTTATTTATTTTGAGAGAGAGAGCGAGAGCAGGGGAGGGTCAGAGAGAGAGACGGTGAGAGAATCCCCCCTGATGTGGGGCTTGATCTCACAAATGAACTGTGAGATCATGACCGGAGTTGAAATCAAGAGTTGGATGCTTAACCGACTGAGCCACCCAGGCGCCCCAGATGAGACTAGTTTAATATTTTTGGTTTAATAAAAACAGCTATGTAGTCTCTGAGCATTAGGTATAACATAAGCTTATGTTTTTATTCTACTTGGGTATATTCTTCTTGAGTTTATGCATATCCTGTGATCAAACAAGCTAGCATTATTTATACTACCTGTTTAAGATTATGAAACATATATGTTTGTATTTAACCAAGTCCGATTATTATTCTGACAAACTTTATTTCAATGGTAATTATGTTTCAGGGTATGTCCACTTGAAGATAATTGCCAAGATGTTTGTGTCATTTAAACGCTTGGAGTTATACTACACTGAGTTAATTAATGGCTGTTCACTAGATAGATACTTGCATCATCTATCTCCAAGTAAGAGAATGCTTAATCATTGGCATAATTTAAATTTTCTATTCTTTTGCTTCTTATTTGTATTTGCTCCAGAGGGCTGTGCCTTTGGGTCTATAATGAGCATACTCATTTCAAGCACTTTGAGAAGTGTGTAAAGGAGAGATGAGGCATGTGGAGCTGTGCTGCCCATGTTCATGGGCTCTGCTAGTCCATCTGTGGCAAAGTGCTAGCCTGTGACAGACAGTGCAGTGACCCACCCTCCACTGTCCGTGAACTAGAAGTTAGCTACTTCGGTTAAAATGATCATTAGTATGTGGTTTCGGTTACACGCTAAGAGACATGGTTTTGGTGAAACACAACTGAGACATTTCTGTTTCTCAAGGGAAAGCAGTAGTTTTGTCCCAAAGGGATGGAGTGGCTCTCCGTCCCTCTTCTGCACCTTTCAAGCTCTTTGGGGACCCCAAAAGCTTTTGTGTGTGTGTGGTTCTAGCTATTGATATTTATTATATTGGCAATTGAAACCAAGAAAGCCTTTAAGCACTTACTTACTGTGGTACCTGGCAATAGAAACAGTGAACACACTGCATGTTAAGAACATCTCAGTCACACTGTGAAATTAGTTCTGACTATGTGGACCCCCTCTGCCATGGTCTCAGTGTGTCCCCCTAACGTTCATATGTTGAAGTCCTAATCTCCAAAAATGGTGATATTAGGACGGAGGGCTTTGGGAGGGGCTTGAGTCATGAATGGGATTAGTGCTTTTATAAAAGAGGCTCCAGTGTTTTATTTAATTGAAGTATCATTAACATTCAATGTTATTTTAGTTTCAGGTGTACAGTATGGTGACTCAGCAATTCTGTACATCACGGTGAGTGTGCTCTCGGTCCCTTCCCCCCATTTCACCGTCTTCCACCACATTCACATGTATATACACAGGTATTTGAAGATTGAAAAGACACTGAAATAAAAGTTTTCTCTAACTGTTGTGATAGTTAAAAAAGAAATAAAATAGGCTCCAGAGAGATCCCTAGCCCCTGGCTCCATGTGAGGATAAGAGAAATCTGTGACCCAGAAGGGGCCCTCACCCTACCTTGCTCACATCCTGATCTCGGTCTTCCAGTCTCCAGAACTGTGAGAAGTGGGTATCTGTTGCTCATAAACCACTCAGTCTGTGGTATTTTGTTTATTCTGTTTATAGAACGGACATCTGAGATTGGACTAAAGCATGTTTGTTCCAGAATATAAAAGTGTGAAATGAGGGGTACCTGGGTGGCTTAGTCGGTTGAGCATTCAGACCTCAGCTCAGGTCATGATCTCACAGTTCATGAGTTCGAGCCCCGCATTGGGCTCTGTGCTGACAGCTCAGAGCCTGGACCCTGCTTCGGATTCTGTGTCTCCCTCTCCCTCTGTCCCTCCCCTGCTCACACTCTGTCTCTCTCTCTCTCAATAAAATAAGTAAAAAACATTTTTAAAAATTAGGTAAAAAGTGAAATGAAAGACAAAATTTGGAAATGAATTTTATTTGCCTATTTTTACAGTACTTGAGTTTGAAAATTTAAAGTCTTAGTTTCTCAATTTGATGGGTTGTTCTCTTGGCTTACATTTTATTGCCTTCACCTACAACATGAAGGACTATTTATTCTGTTATTTAATGTACCCAGGCAACAAAAAGGATTCCTCTTAGCAGGATAGCCTTCTCTGGTGTATATTGACTTACTAAGTCTTTGATTATTTAGGAAGACAAACTTCTCATTTAGGAATAGGCCAACGTTCTTTGCAATCATGTACACCTTCCAGGTTTATTTTTTTAAAACGTTCTAATGGTTTATTATCACTTTAAAATGAATAGCCAAATATTGTTTCTCAAGCACCCCATGATTTGATTCCTGTCTTAAGTATCCAAATCTGATAACTTTGATTTTGCCTTCCCAGTATAAAAAATAAGTAAAATATAACACAAAATAAAATAAAACTTCCAAGGTCTCACCTGGAATGTCATATCTGAGAATGATACTCCATCAGGTATCTTCGGTGCCTAAAATTGTCTCTAAATTTCCAAGAGGACACCTGGAAAACCACAGAGCATTTGTTTTTGCCTACTCTTCTTTGAAAATAGGGTTAATTATGTGTTTAATGATCTTGTCTAACATATAAGGAATTTATTTCTTTTTTTAGGTTATTTGCAACTTGTAACAATTTGGTAGACTATGATTTTACAAACACTAATCTACCATTTGTAAATGACACCTTATTTTTCCTGATGACTCTAGATTCGAAATTCTTATTGAGTACTCTTATTTTCTTAGCAATGCAAGTTACTGTCATAAATTCAGTAAGAATCTGTCCTTGTTTACAGGAGGCTATTGGAAACAGTAGCTATGGGCCCAGAGCACTGCCTAGACGGTCATATTTGAGAATGATGAGCTTCTAACCAGATGTGACTGGACACTTTTAAGAAGCTAAGGTTGGTGTGGTGCAGCCAGTGCTTACAAAATCCTTTTTGGAACCTGGTTCCTGGTTTACAGGTTGCCTAGCCTTGTAGGAGAATAAGGAAGGTCCCCTCTTGGCAGGCCCAAGACTGCAGGGTATTTTGGGAACCATGAAAAGAGAAGAATCCCCCAAGTCTCAGGTGCTGCACGTGAGACCTGATGGCAGACTCTTTGCTTGGTTTCCTAGACTCAAGAAGCTTTGATTTTACTTTTTAAAATTTTTATTGTTTATCATTATTTTTAAATTTTATCTTTTTTTTTTAATGTTAGAGAGTGAGAGAGGGTGTGAGCAGGGGAGAGGGGTAGAGGGGAGAGAGAGAGAATCCCAAGCAGGCATCACGAGGTCAGTGCGGAGCCTGACATGGGGCTTGATGCCATGACCCTGGGATGCTCAAACCACTGAGCCACCCAGGTACACCTCTTTATTACTTTTCTTAAAATTTTAAAATTTATTTTAATTTTTTAAATTAAAAAACCTTTCATATATATATATATATATATATATTTTTTTTTTTTTTTTTTTTTTTTTTTTTTTTTTTTTTTTTTTTTTTTTTTTTTTTGGTTAAAGTTTATGAGTGCGAGAGAGAGCAGGGGAGGAGGAGAGAGAGGGAGAGACAGATTCCCAAGCAGGCTGTACGTTGTTGGTGAGGAGCCCTATGTGGAGCTTGAGCTCACGAACCATGAGATCCTGACCTGAGCCGAGATCAAGAGTCAGACACTTAATTGACTAAGCCACCCAGGTGCCCCATTTTCTTTTTTTTTTTAAGTTTGTTTATTTATTTTGAGAGAGAGAGCCTGCGCATGGGAAGAGCTAAGAGAGAGAGAGAGAGAGAATCCCAAACAGGCTCCATGTTGTCAGCACAGACCCTGATAAGGGGCTCGAACTCATTAACCATGAGATCATGAACTGAGCTGAAACCAAGAGTCAGAAGCTTAACTGACTGAGCCACCCAGGTGCCCCTATTATTTTTTTAAACAAGTTTATTTAAACAACCAGGCACTTGACTTGAGGGGAAAGCTCTCTAGGATTCATTTCTTTTAGAGTAATTTATCCCTACTTAAAGACAGAGTGCCCTATATGTAACAGCTACCTGCAAAAAAAGTTAGCAAATTGCCCTTGGTTTTACAATGATAAATGAAAAACATTAAAATTCTCCAGTCGAACAAGGTACATGAGGGTTTTTTTTTAAGTTTTATTTTAAAGTTTATTTATTTATTTTGTGTGTGTGTGAGAGAGAGAGAGAGAGAGAGAAAGAGAGAGCGAGAGCGAGTGGGGTAGGAACAGAGAGAGAGAGGTAGAGAGAATCCCAAGCAGGCTTTGTTCTGTCAGTGCAGAGCCCAACGTGGGGCTTGAACCCATGAACACTCAGATTGTGATGTGAGCTGAAACAGGAATTGAACACTTAACTGACCGAGCCGCCCAGGCGCCCCAGTATGCAAGGGTTTTTATGTTCTTTTTTTGTTAGGCAGTGAGAGCAGAGTAAGTTACTGGAATATAAAGATAAGGGCTGCATGAATGTGCTGCTAATGGAGAAAGGGGGCACTTTCACAGAACGATATTTTTCCCCATCCCATCTCTGCTTGATGTTGACCCAAACATACCATTGACCATTTAATTAAAAAACATGCAGTCTGCTGTGCACATACTTTATGTACAATACATGATTGGGGGCAGGGAATGTGAAAGAATCGAGAAGCCTGAACTGTGCTGGTCAGGATGTGGTGGGACCAAATTGTGGCTTTCTCACTGAGAATGTCTTCTGGGTCTGGAGGAACAGAGTCTGGAGTAAACGAGCAGGTTCCCTTTGTAGTAGACGCCTCTGTCCGCTGCCAGAACACACCAGCTGGGTCTTCACCCTCCTCCCCGACCTGTGCAGGTGTTTCCCCGACGGGCTGCCCATCACGTCGGAATCTGATCTGCCTCACTGAAAATGGACAAAGACCCGTCATTTGCAGTAGGCTTTCATCAGTTTCCTAAATGGTGTGTATGCCTCTTAATCTTACAGAACCACCCTGCCCCGCCACCTTCAGACTAACATGGTCCTTCTTCTCAGTCTTGACTCCCTGGGCTTTGCGTTGGCCGTGGCAAGTGCCGGCGTCTCCTTAGCTGCTGATTCACAAGGAGGTACCAGGTCTGCACCGAAGGAGCTCACTGAGAAGCTTTTAAAAGTACAATGTGAGGTTTCTTTTCTTTTCTTTTTTTATGTTTATATATTTTTGAGAGTGAGAGAGACAGAGTGTGAGCAGGGGAGGGGCCGGGAGAGAGGGAGGCACAGAATCCGAAGACAGGCTCCAGGCTCTGAGCTGTCAGCACAGACACTGACATGGGGCTCGAACTCATGGACTACGAGATCATGACCTAAACCAAAGTTGGACGCTTAACTGACTGAGCCCCCGAGGCACCCCTCAACCTAAGGTTTCTTTTGAAAACTTGCAACAGAGCAAACTTAGGAAGTCCTGTGATAAATGACCCTGTGAAAATAACCAGGTCAGATCTAATGAGAGCAGCCTTATTTTGTGATCAAGACTAGTGTCTCTCTGAGATTATTTTTTAATCAGAAGTGAAGACATGAAGGAAAAATTTTATTCATATATTCTTTGAAAGAGAATGTGAGCAGGGCAGAGAGAGAGGGAGACACAGAATCTGAGGCAGGCTCCAGGCCCCAAACTATCAGCACAGAGCCTGATGCAGGGCTTGAACCCATAGGCTGTGAGATCATGACATGAGCCGAAGTCAGATGCTTAACTGACTGAGCCACCCAGGTGCCCCTACTTTAGCTTATTGTTATGCATATTTTCAATTTTTTTCAAATAATTTTAAGTACTTTCAAGTAATACTGTTCCAGTTCAGTTGCATTATCACTTTAACACCATTTATTCAGAATTTGAAGAAAAAGGAATTGGATGATTTAAATAATTTAATAATCTGAATAATTTGAAAGACAAAATTGTTTCTCGCAGCTTTAAAATTAGAAATGAAAAAAACTGGTAGACCATCTTACAGGGTAAGTTATGAGAAACCTTGACTAGCAAAGTGCAGATAATGACCAGGAAAGTTTAGGCTGTCAACACTGCTAGGTGAAAAGTCAGTAAAAGAAATCACAGAGGTGAACTTGTTTTTGGAATATTGGAGTAAAGGGCATGGTGGACTCACTCCACAAGAAAACAACATTTAACTGGAGAAAGCTATGAAAAACAATCATGTAAAGTCCTGGAAATTATCCTAAGTGCATACAGCAAATGGAAAAATAGTCATTCAAGAAAATCTACTAAATCTCAGTAAGAAAGCTGTGGCAACTGAGTCACAGCCCGTTTCCTCCCTGCCAGCTCCATCTTCCAGAAATGCTATTCCACGTACTCTACTTGGGGCAGCTGAGAAGAGGAGGGCTCCCCACTCCCAGGCCCCACATGTAGAGTAGAAGCTCTCCTACACCTGAGCGAGCCATGAATGCCGGGACCTCAGTCCCTCCCAGCACCCCAGCTGGCTTATAGGGGGAGCCTCCACACCAAGGGGAGGCAAGCCTCGAACAGGAGTGCCATCACTCCAGAGAGCGCTTTTAGAGAAGTGTTTGGGTTGCTGTCCCCAAGTCTACATCCTGTGCAGGGTGCAGAGATTCTGTCCAGGGGAGAGTCAGGCTACAAGGATTAAGAACCCCCAGCTCTGTCTGAGGGGGACTGACTGTATTTGGAACAGAGAGTGGGAAATTCTGTCTGAGGGTATTGTTGAAAACAATGGAGATTTTGGTCAAGAGCAATGGGGGGGGGGGGGGGACACTTATAACTACATGATACTAGTGGCAACAAGCAAAATGGCAGAGGTTTAATAGAACCAGGGAAAGAGATAACCAAGAAGAGCGCTCCTCAGATCACAGTCAGCCCTGGGCATCAGGAAGTTTGTATATAAAACATTGACCCACTGAAAAGAAATCACAGCAGGACGTGGAACAGATTTGGAAACACTCCCCAGGCTGCATGAAGACAGATCATCAACACAGGGAGGAAGCCTTGCTGATACAAGGGTCTTAAGTGCAGCTTCTAACCAAACACCAGTTGAACTAAGCTACTCTGATACAGGGACAATGCCTGGGAAGCCAGGCTTTGACATAAAATCATACATATCCCTTGGAGTCTGGAAGGCTGTGCATGGCCAAGGCTGAGCAATTTTAGGATGATCAGAGGGGGAAAATCCAAGCTACCGGTCTCTGGCTACACATGGGTAAAAACGAATTAGCCAACCAACCAGCCAACAAATAAATAAATCCCTCAAGCTGTGATAGCATCCAAGCCTTACACACTTTCAATGGTAAAAAGTAAAAAATCTTTGACCAGTAAGTGGCCTGTGCATCCCCAGAGATGACTGCTAGAAAGGCAGGCTAAGAGATAAAAACAAGACAAAATCTGAGTAGGAACATCAGAAGCTGCACACTACAGGGGAAATAGGCTTTACGTACTTAGTTCAGCAAGTCACTGTACAAATAAATAAATGACCAAGCAAGCCAAAACATCAACCCTTGGGGGAGGGAGGTAATTAGTATCCAGAGTGGCTACAGTATAATATCTAAAATGTCAGTTTTTGACAAAAAAAATTTTGAGACATGCAATGAAAGAGAAAATTGTGACCCACACACAGGAAAGAGTGACCAATACAAACTGCTTTTGAAGGGGTCCAGTTGTGGGACTTAGTAGACACATACTTCAAAACAGTCATTGTAGGATTGTAGGGCACCTCAGTGACTCAAGAGTCTGACTCTTGGTTGTGGCTCAGGTAATGATCTCATGGTCATGAGCCCCTGCATCACCTGCTTAACATTCTCTCTCTCCCTCTGCCCCTCCCCTAGTCATGCACTCACACACACCCTCTCTCTCTCTCTCTCTCACACAAAAAAAAAATAATCCTCCCCAGCCATTGTAAATATTCTTGAAGAACTAATGGAAAATACATAAAGACTTAAAGGAAGAATTGATGACAATATCT